CCGTTTTTTTTAATGATATAATAATTAATATAATTTTATATTTAAATAAAAAATTTATTGATCTATTATTTGACCATTTCATTAGCTAAGTTTTATATTTATTTTAAATATGAAATCAAAAGATTGTATAATATAGAGTTTGGATACAATCAATGCATCATTATCGGATAAGACAATAAGCAATTAAGCTGCTGAAAACGATTTATTGAAATATTAATTATGTGATCGATGATGTGTTTATGCCTGATGTAAACGCAAGAATAAACCAGCGCCCGAACTTTATTGATAAACTTCATACCGTCATTTTTTAATCGATTTCAATTAACTCGGAGTGGTTTCGAATTAAAAAGAATCACTGCGATTAACTTAATCTATGATTAACTTACCAAGCGACTGTATTATTATATTAATGTGGATAATATTTGTAGTTTGTTCGGAGCACACACATACATGCTTTATCCTTACGAATAAATTTATCCTTCAGAATTAATGCTACATTTATTAGAATATTTTATGGTTTTATCATAAAAAATTGCTTTTTGAAAGCACATATTACTATAAAATTAAAATTAGTAAGATACAGTGTACAGAAAATAGTTTTCATTTCAGAGTCTTCGTAAAAAATTTATCCAAATACATAATTACATTGCAATATTGTTGGAACGTTTCGTTGCAATATAACAAAAAGCGGACTTAATATTGTTGGAATCTTGCAGCAATGATTCAGCAATGTTTCGCAACCACCATGCAATATTGCAATGTTTCAGTGAAATCATTCTGCAATGTTTCTGCAATCTTTCTGTGCTGTATGGGACCTAATCTGACTGTAAAAGTGAGAGATCTCAGTTAATAAAATACCCAATGTATATTTTATCAAATATCACAATAAAATGTATTAAGGATTTCGTGGTTTAATTTATTTCTATATTTTTATTAAACGTACATTTTTATGTCGATTTGTGTACAACAGCTTTAAAGTGCACTGAGTGTGCACCAGCTCTGCCAGTGAAATACGCTATAAGTCGTTCCTACATCGGCGCGTTGGCGGCAAGCAAAGAAGGTGATGTCTGTGCCGATAGTTAATATCACGATTTATGGAAAAGTAAAAATTATTTTCAATGACAAGATTTTCCGAGAAATTACATGACAATAATATTCGACGATTATTACTTTTAAAACGTGTTTGTAAGTTGCGTTTATAGATTCTGTTGATGATTTGCGATATAGGAGGTATCTTGTTCGTAAAGTTTATAATTTCGATGTTTATCGTGGCGAGACAGTTATGATCGGGTCAGAAGATCATATCAGAAAACTCAAATAATCGAGAGAAAAAGTGAAAGAATATATACATTAACGATCACTCTAATCGTTTCGCAAAAATAATATTATCCTGCGAAGATTGAGAGACCAGGATATATCATTATAACTAAAAAATATAAAAATTATTAATAAAACGTTTACTGAACTGATAATGATAATTTTAACGAATCAGAAGTGTAAAAAGAAACAAATATAATTAAAAAAACATATATATATATATATAGCGTGTCAAAATTAAATATGATTTTTTAATTTGTGGAAGAATTAACATTACCGATAATACCAAGGCACATTAACGAAAAAAACTGTGTCTATAGTATCACCGATAAAAAATGTTTTGGTATCAGGCCGACCCTTGTGTAACGCACGCGGAAACTCACGCAGTACGTATTTTGCATTAGAATACGCAATACGCTACATTCAGGAGCGCTATTAAAAAATATTCTGTTAATATACTAGACCCGTCATTAATGTGCAATATTATAAAAATAAGATATCTCACAAAAGAGATCATGCTTAAAAAAATTCCTTCGCATACGAGAGCATTTACAATAATAAGGTTATTGTTGGACAAATATTACAATTTTTCCAAGAAATTGACTTAATTAAAAAAAATAATAATTCCTTGTCACAGTTTCACATTTGTAAATGTCATTTCTTACTGTACATAACAGTGTTAAGCTACATCTTCTTGGTAAGAGTGTCTTTTAACAGAAGAGTTGAGTCGACTGCATTTTGCATCTGCGCTTGAATAATTAAAATGCGACATTTTACAGGCCTCTGGTTGCTCTGTCTGTTCGCGAGCTTGATCTTCCTGAGTTTATCCAATTGCATTGGCTCCAATTGCATTGACGTATCATGCTGTCCCGAGGGAACGCTATTGCAATATAAAACGCACAATTGCTCAGACGACACACATATCCGTCCAAATTGTTCAGGCATGTACATGCTGAATCCTCAGAAGAACTATTGGGAGACCTTCACCGTTATCTACGAGAAGGGTACCGCGTTATTACAGATAGAAGACATTAAGGATTATAAAGTGCCGTTTGACAGGTAGAATCTCCGCAACTATGGCGTGAGTTTTACCGATTAAATTGCGTTTATATGTGTAAAACTAATAAATCATACACATGCTCACGGAAGGAGAAAAGAAATCGAAAAAAAGATACACACACACACATACAACTGGATGTTGAGAAGCATGAAGAAAATCCTAGTATTCAGAAATTTTCTGAGCTCACGTAGTATCTCGATGCTTTATTATGACATTAAAGTTATTATTGCGCAATAGTCCTATACAGTGTTGTGTTCAGATTTTCTATAATAGATGGACAATTACTATCATGCTTAGTTCACGACTGAGCGTTGATTTTTATCTAATGAATGCTTTTATTCATTAGATTCTGCATAGTCGAATCGGTGCAGCACAGCGGCGAGATCGCCCTGGTATGCTTCGATGAGGATGAGATCATGGATTCCATCACGAATGAGCCCATGAATTTCACCACGGATGAGCCCACGAATTCCACGGATCAGCCGATAGATAACATCAATCGACTCTGATGAACGTTGATTCACCTGTCTTCTTCCACCATGCTGACGTCTACACTATGCTCGTCTCGCACGCTACCTCGATCTTCGGGCGACGCGGATTTGGAGTGCGTTCCGTTTCACTCATGATGCGCAAGATGTATCATTTTATCTTTTTTTAATATTCGGTGAACAACAAGGACAAAATGATATATCATGCGCACCATGCGTGAAACGAAACGCGTCTTTGGAGTGCGGATCCGACAGATTCGACTGCGCTCCTTTACTCGCTCGCTCGCTCGCTCGCTCGTGAATGTGAAGTTACGTCTTTTTTACATTCATATTACCGTAACACAAATTTCTCGGAACGTTTTCATTCGACCGTACCTCTCCAGATAGAACAGAGTCATAATTAGGTCATAATGGATATACATTTGATATTTAAAAATAACAAATGACCCTCACAGCACATCAACATTGAAATAAGGTTACAGTAACTTTAAATTGTACGATTGTAACATTAAACGGAGATTAATAAACCTACCATTAATCTCCCAGTAACATGAAAATGATCGTCCAAACTGATTACATTAACATCCCAGAAACCTTACATGATAGGTTGTATTAATATTCCTACAATGTGCCAAGGACCTTGTAAGATTGTAACATTAAACGGAAATTAATAAACCTACCTTATTGCTAAAATGAGTATTATTATTGATTAATATCTTATTCCAGAATACATATCATAAAATTATGATTAAAAAAAAAATTTTTCCCTGAAGTCGGGAACTAATTTCATAGCACTTTGAAGCGGTCACCCATTCAATTGCATATTTCCGCCATTTACTATCCTTGACCTTGACTTCTGAAATCGTCTGGAAACCGATGCACTTCAATGATCCACGAACACCTGTATAATCATGGGTGTATAGCTATGATACATTTCTTCAATTATACGCTTGCCGAGCAATCGAATATAATTGGTTGGATCTATAAGTAATAACCAATTATGTTCATTTGCTCGGCGAGCAGGCTAGCCGCTTTGTCAACTTGAACGTTGTGTTGTATGTGTTGTGTGTGCCCATTGACATAAGATTCCATTAACCTTCCAACAATATTAAAATATAAGGTTCGTACAAGGTTGCTGAGAGAAATATTGACACAAGATTCCATTAACCTTCCAATAATATTAAAATGTAAGGTTCATACAAGGTTGCTGAAATATTGACACAAGATTCTATTAACCTTCCAACAATATTAAAATGTAAGGTTCATATAAGGTTGCTGAGAGAGAGAGAGAGAGAGAGAGAGAAATATTAACATAAGATTCCCTTAACCTTCCAACAATATTATAAAGTAAGATTACATTGTAAGGTTAGTGGCATACACCAGTAACCTTTCCACAAAACTATGTAAGATTGTAACTATCCTACTATAACCTTAATGTAATATCCGGTGCTGTGAAGGGAGATTATCGTTATTGTTTTGCCAAAATGCTATATCGAAATGAATTGAGCAGTTATCAATATTTTAGAGAACATAAGATCGAATTTTTGCATTTGTTTCTGTGAATATTTCTCTGTATTGCAGATTACAAATTTTATGCAAGATTTTGTCATATAATTTAATAAACGTTCTATCGGAGCGAGTAGAACACGTACAGTCATAATTAAATCATAATGATGACATATTATAGGACATCCTTTGTCACTTAAATATGAATAATTATAAGTAATAAATAGGGAAGAGATGGCCGGAATAGAGGGAGGTAATTATTATGTCGTTAAGAAAGGGAAGAGAAAAAAATGGAGGAGTATAGAGGCGTGACCTTAATGTCTATCTTATATAGATTATGACAATTTTAGCGGAGAGCTTGAGAAAAGAGATGGAAGAAAAAGGGATCGTCCCGGAAAATCAGGCGGGTTTTAGAAAAATTAGAGGTATAATGGACAATATATGTATATGTGCTAAATTATCTGATTAATAGACAAGTAGGAAAGAAAAAAGGGAAATTGGTAGTATTATTCAGACTTAAAGGTAGCTTTTGATTCGATTGATAGGGAAATAGTATATAAAGAAATAAGAAGAAAGAGGATAGAAGGAAGGAGAGAAATTTTGGAGACGCGAGAGGAATAAGACAGGACTGCCCCTTGTAATAAAAATAAAAAAAAATTTTACCGAGTTAAGGTTTGTAATCGTAAAATTGCGTAAATTGTATAATGAATAAGTAAGGAATTGTATAATTGTATAATTGTATAACCACATTAATGTAAATGTAAAGATAGAATAAGTAAAGCAGGGCATTGAGGCAGAGCGAGATGTATGCGAGAGACTAAGGTGAGCGAGATGGGTAGAAGTTAGAGATAAGAGTGAGAGAGAGGGGGGAGGCAGGAAGGAAGAGAGGGACAGAGAGGGAGGGAGAGAGGGAATGGGTGGGAGGGAGGGAAGGAGAGAGGGGGAGACAGCGTTATGTGGCTAAATAGAATTATAAATATTTGTATGCGTTAGGAAATTGGATGTAAGAGGAAATGTGCTTGTAACCCCATTGGGGAACTAATTAAATCTATCTATCTATCTATCTATCTATCTATCTAATATCTATCTACCTATAAGTGACAAATAAGGTCATGATAGAGACATTCCGTGAAACTTGAGCCAATTGCCACAAATATCCAAAATCAAGTGATCCTTATAAATTTTTACGCTTGATGAGGAAGAAAAGAGATCGATACCTCTGGATAACTCGCATATATATTGTTCAGCGTTATCACGTTATCAGTCGAGAGTTAAGCTCGCGAAAGAAAGTTGCTCGAAAGAGAAAGACATCCCTAATAACACAGGGACGTCCTATGGACATCCTGTGGACGTCCTGCCGGTTAAATGAGACGTCCACAGGATGTCCTATTGTAGTCCAAGGACGTCCTATGGATTATGACATGAGCATCCATTGTGGTATTATCGGGGATTAATTTAGGATATATTCAGGACTATTTTAGGACTTTCTGGACGATTTCAGGACTATTTCAGGATGTATTAAAAGTAAAATAAAATGATCACATCCACTCACAGAAACTAATGCCTGGAAGGTATTTTCCACTGTTCAAGCGTTGTGAATAGGTGGTCAATTGTAAACGTGGTCAAATTACTGTAAGAAATATAAGCAACACGAGAAAAATATCAGGGCGCTTCGAGTCTTGAAACGAGGCTTAAGGTCTCTCCTCTGAGTTGATAGACTTTCGTCCTGCCATTGAGCCACACAGCCTCGACGTTGATAGCTTCTCTGTTATACCCATTTCCTCTAAATTTCTTACACTACACTCTTAATTTTTAGATAATAAAATTAACTTAATTAATGTATATATAATTAAACTTGATATATTTTGTTGTTAGCACATGATCACGTTAGTATCAAAGAAAAGGACATTCTATTGAAATATTTAAAACTGATTCTTTCAATTAATGTAAATATTAAGTTGTATATAGTTTTGTAACATACATATATAATACATTATTTACATATAAAAAATTTTTACGGAAATATTTTCCGAAGGACGTTCTGAGACTGTCCCACAAGGACGTCCTAAGAAAGTCCCACAAGGACGTCCTAAGCCTATCTCAAGGACATCCTGTGGCTATCCCCACGATGTCCTGAAGCTGTCTCGAGAATATCCTGAGGCTATTCCCATGACGTCCTGAAGATGTTCAAAGGACGTTCTGAGGATGTCCTGAAAATGATGCCCTAAGAATATCCTCAGGACATCCTGTGGAGATATGCATGTCCATAAAATGTCCAGGATATCCTGGGACATATTCAGGATAATCCTGAAGACGTCTTGTGCTGTTAGGGATCTTTTCTTTTGTCTCATTAGAAACTTGCAGAAAAACATCTTTGATGCAACGGACACGAGAGGCGATTATTAACGCTTCGATAATTGTTATCATTCCGCTTTGTAAAAGCAAAATCAACCCTACTGAAAAAAATGACGTGTTGTAGCCCACGAGTGCTACCACGATTTAGTCTTGCATTTCAGCATAGCAACGAGCTGACGGAAATGCAAGACTATCACCGCGAAGTAACCCTTGCACTTCGGCATAGCAACGATTTGCGGAAATGCAAGGTTGCAAATTTGTCAGTAGCGCGGGCACGATTTGCATGACGATATATGATCACAGCGAAAACCGAATCGAGACATCGCGACGCCTATATATTCGGCGGTCTAAGCGCGGACCCGCGAGTCTCGTATAAAAAACTGAAAAGCGAACGATACGTTACGCGCGTCGGAGAAACCGGAACCCGACGAGCTTCGGTATAACAAGTGTTGAAGTGTCGAGTGTGTTGACGACCCTTCGTCCCGTATCCTCGCCTCTTCTCGTGGGTCCTAACCCCCTGGGCGTTTGGTTGTACCGAGAGGTACAACAGACGTCACACAGTCGCATGATGAAATTATGTAATTAAAACATGTAAATCACGTAACAGAATGTTCCAAATCAGTACGTGATGTTAAAATTACGTATTTTGAAAAGTCACATGATGATATGTTCTTTTTTCTTCT